CTTTTTCACAGACAGCGGTGTTCTTTTTTATAACACTGGTCTATGGCCTAGAAATACTGAAAATCTCCCGTTTGCGACGAGTGCCGCACAACCCGAAACTGCTCACGCTTACGTTCGCGAAGCGCATTCAGCAGCGAAATCTTACTGACAGCCAATCACCTTCCCCATATTGTACCAAACGTGCCGCGCCATCACTCTTGCAAATGTATCAGCGGCCATGCTGTTTTGACCATAAACAGAAAACAGCCTGTAATATAATGGCAATCGTATAACGTTTCTATGACGACATCAACGCCAAGGTGACTTTGACCTAGTCTCCCAATAAACCTTTTCGCACTTTTGCGGGCGTATAACTCACGAACCAGAGGGGTTTGGGTCTTAAAAAGTACATGACCGTGAACTGCATCAAAAGGTCCACAAGATGACTTTTTCAGCTCAAAACCCCATGCAAAGGTGAAACATTCCCTTTAAGAGATACCACACATATAATTATTGTGTGGAGGTCATCTTAATTTTCTTTTAATACTTATCATACCTTACATGGCACAAACACCGTACCATCTTACAGGTGTGTATGACACTACTGTGCGTTTGCTTACATTGAGATAGAAGGTTCTATCACATTTTTCTCGCCCTTAAAACAAACGATGCAATTGTTCTGGGAGGACTGCTTTCACCTTTCTACTTCTGGGCAACGGAGCAGTCCCGTTCCAGTTAAGTGGCGCTGGTCGTACCTTCCTCGTCCATCTTGCACTGCCTTTCTATAGTAGCTCAGCCCACCCACGTCACGAATGAAGCCCATTTATTCATTATCCTAACGCGCACCATTTGAGCTCAAAGTGTGACCGCCCTAAGCGTGAACACCTATATTGAATAACGCAAAATGCATGCGGCACAATTTTGCATGTCTACAGTACATATGTTTGCAAATAGGGATTTTGTCCTCCATATGTGCGGGAGTCACGTGTCATTTTCATGTGTCAGCGTTGTTGCCGATTCTTGGTGCCTTCCTTTGGTAGATAGCGTGTGTCGTAATAATATAATATATATAATATAATATAATAAAATGTCGTAATAATGCAAGAAGTCCTCATGCCTTGCGCGTGGCAGACTGGACATGTCGGCCATGAAAAATGGCGGCACCACAGTAATTGCGGTAGTTCGCGGTTTCAGGGGAATAACGCGAAGCAGGCTAACTAAGCGATGAATACCTGAAATATATTGCCTTCCAGCGTTGGACAACGACAAAATATGTATATCTGCGCGACAATATATTCTGTATCATTTACATGACTATGGTAACACCAGACGCCATTAATTACAAGTATGCTGCCAGCGCAACTCACTCTTGAGTTAAAGCACGACACACTGCATAGCTACTTGCAATGCATGAAAAAATGGACACTGGCACGCTGAAAGAAAGGATTCACACTGTGTGCACACATACGAGTCGTGCGTGCAAGCAGCACTTCGCAAACAACCAGGAGGCGGACAGCCATTGTTACACATTGTATCAATGCACTGTAAACGCGGTCAAATTTGGGAACAACTCAAAGGAAGTAGCAGATCGAAGCTCGTGTGCGACTTAACAACGGAAGCAGTTGAAAATCTATCCAGCATCAGGTGGTGCCGGAACCTAAAGTTCAGACTCGAAGAGCCGCAACTATCCCAAGAGAACACGGAGTCCTTCATACCCTTAACTACAGCATCACAGTCTGATTAACGCAGGCGCGGGCCTGCGTGCAATCAGTGGCGCAGAATGGACATCGGACGAGTCCATTGGCTTCTGTTGCCTAAGCCATTCGTGGAAGGTGATCTCTACGACCAATGGCCAAAGTCTGTCGTCAGTTCCGATGTTGTTCGATGGTCAGACGAAATCAGGCTTTCAGCGCCTGGAAGTTCTCTTCTTGGACTGTCTTGGCCAAGAGTAACCTGAAATATGTGACGGTTTGTTACAAGTGGAAAGGGGGATGATAGGGTATCCACTCGTTTGAGTTCACATGCGTGATGAGAGCAGATTAATTATCTCGATAGATTAAATGCAGGAGCAACTGTCAGGGATGTTCGTGCTGCTGCCCGACTGGACCGATTGAACTTGTCTAGTTTGAAATCAGCAACCCCCAAAATTATACCAAGATCCAAGAAGAAGCATTCAACTAACAGAGAACAATGCAAAGAGTGCATTCACCTTGTAATGAGTAGCCACAACCGAAGAAAGACAGAAACGCTACTTACTATATAAAAGGAAGATATGTTGATGCATGCATATGTTTGTGGAGTCATCTTCTGCAACGGGTTACGTGCAATATCAGAGTATGCCTCCAGATTGCTTTAAAAAGCAAAACGTAACTCAAACTCTGGACATGAATTGGTTATTCATATACAGCAATCCCTTATCTGTGAATGTTCAACATTACGAACTGTGCAACTACTTCCAATGAGCAACATCCGGGCTGCCAAAGACATCACACACGCTGATGTCCCTCTCAGGCAGTTCAGTCAGCGTCAAATCAAGACATGCTAAAAATGGTATGATATATATTCACAGGCATTTTGATAGCTTCCTCCGCGGCTTGTGAGACAAGTCCCATACAAATCAGCTTCAGTAAAGTGTTCGCCTCCTCTCCGGACGACAGGTCCAGTTTCTTCCTGAGCCACGCTGGCGTAGAACACAGCTCAGACGGGCTACACGCCGGCTCCGATCCCCCGCGTGTGCCCCGTCCGCAGCCGGCCGGCGCCTGTGTCGCGCGGGGGGAGGCGGGGCCCGCCTGCCCCAACCGTCGTGTGCGGCGGCGGCGGCCCGACACTGAATCACCGGCTGAGGGACGACTCCATCGGCCGGCCGTCAGGTACCTCGCACTCGGCGCGACTATCGCTCGATCGGACCGCGTCACGTTTGTCTCCCGAACGGCCGCGTCTGGGCCGGCCACCCGGCCGGCGAGCGGCGCGCCCGCCCCGGGCGCCGGGCTGGCGAGCGGGCGTCCGGCGGGTGCTCCCACAACTGACACCCACACGGGACCGGACGGCGGACGAGCGTCGAGAGGTGACGCCTGCTCGGGATTTGGCGGCGGACACCCTCGTGAGGGATACCTGCGAAGGTCTGTCAGGTAGACCCCTGTCCCTCCGAAACACACCCCAATGACCAAAAGTGGGGTCGCCCACACCCTGCAACTCACAGTATTGGTAGCTACTTCCGACTCTCGGGTCGTGCGGAAGGAGCGACATATGTCCCATTGCCACTGATTAGGCAGGTGGGACGTAAGATATCGCTTATAAGCAAGGATGCGCTCAGGACATGCTCGGCACAAGCCCTGAGCGAGGAGAGGGGTCGTACAAAACCTTAAATTTTCATTAGAAGTGGAAAAGTTATATAAACGTCAGGCATACTCCTATGTCTTCCTGTCAAACGAGCCTCGAAGCTGAATGTGCCAGTGTTTCTGGTCGCGGAGTTCACTGTCATTGCCACTTTATGCTTAATTATTCGGTGAATTCAAAATGCATTTTTGGAAGGATGTACGAAGATAGAGTATGCGACGGCACGATTTCCTTTGTACCGGAAGTGAGACACGTGCGGTCATACCAGCCAAATACCTGGCTGTGTGAAAGCAGGTCTGGATTCAATGAATAGTAATTCGTCATTTATCTTCCTTGATCACAAGGCAAGTGTGTCATAATGTAATTGATGCATTTATTTTAAGTTATCAATTATGCCGAGTCATTAATAACCGCATTTCGTGAACAACTTGTCGGTATTTAACAGATGAACGTGGAATGATGAAGCTGTTTTCAGCTCCATTACAAACGTGATCAAATCATTAGCATAACAGGCCGCTAATATTTCTTGCCTTCCCACTCGAGCACCCTCTTTGACGTTATGGAGTTGTTTTTGTCCTCCGCTGCCCACTTTTGTTGTCCGCGCGACAAAAACATCCAATGAAGATGGCTCGCTGACAGATGAGGAAAAGCCCCGCTGAGATCGTATCTGGAAAGAATAGCGCTGCGTGTCTTTATCTTGATTTTAAGACTTACTCTGAAACCTATTGAATGCGTCGCACCGCGTGAGCCGGCTCGTGAGCCCCACAAAAAGGGCCGGACAGGGCGGCACGTGTTTTACAGCCGACTGAGGACACCTCAAGCCGGCGGGGAGCGCACAACGGAGCCGCCTTCACACGCGCCGACGCCACGACGGCCACCAGCGTGGCTCGCTGCTCAGCAGAGAAGGCTAGCTCCAGACCGTGTTCCTGCCCACTGTTGGAGGCACGCTCCTCTGGATACAGATTCGCAGGACGTCCCTTTCTCTGGGAGGGATACGCTCCTCACGGCCCAAACATGAGCGCTTGGAGATAACTCCACGCCACTTCCCTGTTAACTGGTAAAGGTGCACTCCTCAGGAGAGACGGGGAGACAGCGCCCGGATTACCCCGCTTCGGTTGTTATTACCCACTTGAGCCGCAGCATAGGAAGCAGACATCGCAGGCAGCTATCTAAGTAAAAGAAGAAGGCCACCTCATGCCTTCCGTAACGACCTCACCGCCATCGTGCATGCCGCCAGGTTCTTAACTGCCGATTG